TTTGACTGATACATCGCTTTGTATTTCTAGTGATGAATAGTTTTTCTTTGAAACTCTTTTTGGACTCAAATTTCTTGTGGTAATCAATGGCCGAATCGCTGCTAAAACTCATCATTGAATCCAATCGGCGCTCAAAGCTATTGTCCGCCGATTTATAGGATATCCGTTCATCCGATTTATTCATTACCAGTGGTGGACAGGTATTTGGTTTAGATTTTAGACATTTAATTTTACGAGTGCCAAGGTACTTTGACCCACAAATTAGTGATATTTCCAAATACTCATTGTATGTGACCATAAATTCTAACAAAAAACATTTTTGTCAGAGAGAGAGAGAGAGAGAGAGAGAGAGAGAGAGTTGTTTAAATATAAGTTAACTATATTGCATAATAGCATGTACCAGTATTAGTTATGTGCACAGTACAGTATATTAAATGGATAATTACCAGGTATTGTGAAATACAGTGTAAATGGATTCTTGTAGTGAACAATGAGTATATCATTTGTGACACCAATAGACACGTGTATTCTCTGTGTTTCACTGATGGCTGAGTCCAACAGTATATAAATCCTGTCTTTTGTCTAAAATATATAACAAAATCTATTAATAATTCATTGATGTTTACACTAAACAGGTGTCGAAGCATATGGACTCATAAAACATTTAAATAAGTAGATTACATCTAAACTAACTTTTTAAAACATGAATTTTAGTAAATTATACAAAAACTTTTTCTATAAATAAACTTTACTAGAAATAAAACTAATAAAAATTATTTAAAATTAATCTTCAAATTAGTTTCATTTCAAAATTAAAGCAATTAATAATTAAACTAGTATATAAGCAATTATTAATTACCTAATTATCTAATATATTAGTTAAATGATTTTACATGTCAAAAAACATTTATAAAACTAAAATCATAACAAATACCTCATAAATAATATCAGTGGACAACTCAAACTGCGGTGCGATTGATATAAAATTATTATACTTTTTAGTCGACACTTTCAACATCCGATTGTCTTTATACTTATGAAACTCGAGTATATTTGACAAACACTTGACCGTATTTATCATAAACTGTTTGACATCATTATGCGTGGCCACCACCCTATGACAGCGCCGGTAGCCGTACAGCAGACTCTTATGGATATCATTGACATCCGACTCCAAACAATTGCAAAACATAAGCAAACATTTCGAGGGATTCATACATTTGGTCAATGAATACATCTTTTCCGACAACACATACATAGTGTTCAAGAAGTCGCGACTCAATAGTAGTATAAATGCATTGAATTTAGGCATCGACTGCAGGAACTCCTCGAAGTCCTCGTCCATGTGCTCCACGTGTTTGTGGTGTATATTCAACGGGAATTCAATCATTTGCGCGAATTCTTCGCTGAGATAACGGTCCCATTTGTGGCCGTCCGCTGCGAACAACACTATGATCTCCGGTACGATAAATGATAGCATTTTATGTACACTTTTTCATGTGGTTTTTATTTTGAAAAAAATAAAAAATTGTTTTGTTAGGCTCACAATTCTTGGAAACTATATGTGTTTTTTGAGTGCTATTCATGTAATTATGTGAAATATTTTTATGCGATGTTTGCAATGTTTATACAGACTTTTGTTGACTCAGTTGTATAATACTCTGTATAGTTGCAGATCTCTCTCTCTCTCTCTCTCTCTCTCTCTCACACACACACACATACACACACACACTCATTCATTCACTCACTCACTCACTCATACACACACACACACAAGCTTTCTATTTTTTTAAAAACTAATTCATTTATCTTAAAGTATTATTTTAATTAATGAAACATTTCTTATCACTTAATAATATTTCTTATTAATTAATGAATTATCTTATATTTTGTAAAATAATATTAACACTAAGTAATTTAAACTTTTATAACAAATGGGCCTTTTAAATAGTAAGTTTTTTTAACAGCTGATTAAAGATATTTAGTTGTTTTAAAAACTTATGTTGTAATCGAGTTTTACGTTTTAGTATTAATAATTTGAAGGCCTACAATAATTATAATCATATTTTTTGTTAAGAAAAATTATCATAATGAAAGTGAGTCTGTATTATGTTAGGCTTTCCCTTGTTATAATAATAATACAATGACAATACAATGTATATCCTAAACATTTTATTTCAAAGCCTTAATAAATAAAGTCATTATTTTTTATACAATTAAAAATATAGTTTTAAATCAATAAACTATAATTTTATTTGTTATAATTGTGCATCTACAGCCAAATATATTTTATTAATTAATTTTAAAATAAATATTTATTATAAAATAATTTTCTTATGCATATAACACCTTGGTTCACATTTGCAAAATGGACTTTATTCACCTTTTGCTTGACGATCATAATTGTTATCATTATAATCAATGCACTTGTCACCATTGAAAATA